TTTTACTTTGTGTTCTAACTAGAAGTTTATGTAATATTTTGTTTTTAAGAACATTTGACGTCTTCCCAATAGCTGTTGTTGATATCTATAATAGAAGTCATTTTCTTCTATTTATACGTGTATTTGTGTCAATAACGTACATACTGCACGCATGTAATCATTCTTATTATAAATACGATAGTTAAACATTTTAACCTTTAGATCCAATTTGCGTGACATTTTAACTATTTTGTGACATGAGAGGATTACATATATAATATCAACTTTTCGACTAGAGGCGAGAATTGTGATCGAGGGAGGAAGAAGATAAAGCCGCTGGTACATGAGTTCGATATTACTCTTTGGTAGTGCTACTTTAGACAAATTTCGTGACTGCATATACTGATGGGCCTCAATAGAAAAAGAAGAGTGGAAGCCCCTATACAAATCGGACCGTTGGATCGGTTTGGCCCGGAACCCAAACAAACAACTACAAAACCCTAATTTTCACACTCTGCACATTAACCCTAATACGCAGCCATATCGGAGTCTGATCTTCACCGCCGCATATAACCGTAAGTTAACTGCTCGGATTCTTAACTTCAATCAATCTGTAATTGCTTATGGGTATATGGAATGTATAATATGCGAGTGTTTTTGTTAGTTTTGTAATTTAAATCGATGTCCGAAATAATTACTTACTTTGAAAGTAGAAATTTTCAACCGGCGCCAATGGGAGAAATGAAATAAATATAGAAAGAATTCCAATTTATGATCAGAGAATCTGCATTTGATGTCTAAGTATACAGTCTTCATGTGTGTAAATGTGTTTGATTGAATCGCTCCTATTTATTTGTTTTCGTTTGTATGTTATTACTGCAATCTGAGATGATTGAATCATATTTCAGTCTGCGATTTAGGAACTGTCAATCCATACATCCAGGAAATGGGTGACAAGAAATAGAGTTAAATTTAGAAACAATATAAGAATAAAGATTTCATATGTCATTATGCGTTTATGAGTTTGGGATTTATGGTTATTGCAATTTTATGCAAAGCGGAATAGGGGTTCCTTTTTTGAGTAGGTGATGAATTTATTTATGTTTGGTGTAGAGATGGAGAAGGGAGTGCCCGTTGTTCCAGAATCTGTACTTAAGAAGCAGAAGAGGAGTGAGGAATGGGCTTTGGTCAAAAAGCAGGAGCTTGAGTCTGCTAAGAAGAAGAAGGCAGAGCAACGCAAGCTTATCTACAACAAAGCCAAACAGTACTCAAAGGATTACGAGCAACAGGTATATCCGTGTATTACCTTTTGCAGGTCTCTGATGATGTTAATTTTTTACAATCACAAGTTTCTAATTGTGGTGCAAATTCTCGTATGGTAGGAAAAAGAGCTAATTCAATTGAAGCGTGAGGCTAGGTTGAAAGGGGGATTCTATGTCAACCCTGAGCCTAAGCTGCTGTTTCTCATTCGAATCCGTGGGTATGATCTGATCTTACTTTAGCAGACTTTATTAAGTTTATTATGTAACCTGCTTTGTAATTCACTTTTGTTTTCTTTTTGGACTGCCAGTATCAATGCCATGCACCCACAGACGAAGAAGATTTTGCAACTTTTGCGTCTACGACAGGTTACTCTGAACCTTTTATGTAGTTGTAATTTTGTTTGTTAATTTCTACACAAAACTAGCTTTCACCTACTAGGTGTTATTTATAACATGAGTCTTACACTTTAATGGCATTATTCCTGATTCATGCACCTTAAAGGAATAGATGGTTTTGATTATCTGATAATAGTTATTTTTTGTGTTGTGTACCTTGTTGAAAACAAACTTGCTTGGCCAGTTAACCTGAATATATTACTTGAACATTGCTAAAAAGGATTTCATAATTTCATATTGTTATGTGGTCACTGTGATAACATTTTTGTTTGTGAACAACCATCTGAACCTAAGGATACTTGGTGTTATGCATGTTTTTTATGCTGGTGATTGTGGGCGTCAGATGTTTTGGATATTCATCAATACTCAAGTCATTTCCATTTAATTGTTAATGGTTTTGGATTAGGTTGAATCATGTTTAGAGAATGCAAGTTAGATGATATCAAATTATTTATGGTTGCTGGTAGTGTAGTCATTCGGAAATTTGTTTTCTCAGTTTTACCTCTTTTGTATCCACTTTTCATATTTAAACCTGCACTGGACATGGAAAACCTTTTATCCCAGTATGAGAGTATGAGGTATCTTTGTTTGTGCTTTGTACACTTTGCTCCTGTAATTCTCATCCGTTGATTTCTCCTGAAGCAGATTTTTAATGGCGTCTTCCTAAAAGTCAACAAGGCAACATTGAATATGTTGCACAGAGTTGAGCCCTACGTGACTTTCGGGTATACATCTGATTACTTTTGTAAATTTTGCATGCACTGAGTCAAATGTTTACAACGTCCTTGCCTTTCTTTAGATACCCCAACCTGAAGAGCGTGAAAGAATTGATATACAAGAGGGGCTATGGCAAGGTTAACAAGCAGAGGATTGCTTTGACAGACAATTCCATCATTGAACAGGTATTCTATTATTCTATTGCTCATATTTAGCCCCTGTTTGGTGTATATTAAAATTTAGGTCAAAATTAACAATTAATTTTAACCACGGATTTTATGGGATCCACTATTTTTCAGTTACACATTTCATCAACTTTTCTCAAAATCTATAAAAATCTGATTTTTAATCCACACAAAACTGAGCTTAGTTGCATTTTGCATAGCATTTTCGCTTACTTTTGGATTGTATTTAGGTTCTTGGTAAACATGGGATTATCTGCATGGAAGATCTTGTTCACGAGATCATGACTGTTGGACCGCATTTTAAGGAGGCCAACAACTTCATCTGGCCATTCCAACTTAAGGCACCATTGGGTGGCCTGAAGAAGAAGAGAAACCACTACGTTGAAGGTGGAGACGCTGGAAACCGTGAAGATTATATCAACGAGCTTATCAGGCGAATGAACTAGATTTTTTAACTTCTATCATGTTGGAGAGTGAGATTCTTTAGTTTCTTATTGGAAGCTAGAGGAATCTCTCATTAGCGCATTGTACTGAACTAAAAGTGCCGAGTGTTCTTTTTACAAACACGTTCTTGCTTGCTGTCGAAAGATAATTTTTGTTTTAAGATTTATATGAGCACCTATGTTTAATATAAGGCTTAGCATGCACGGTATCTATTGACAATACACTCAAAAGTCAGATGGTTCAGGCAACCCATTTTTTCTTTTTTCAATCCAATTAGACAGACCTGTTCTAGTGGGCAGGAAGACAATCTTCTCATGGCAACGGTGCGTATAGGCCACATTTTTCGGGAAAGTAGGAAAATATTTTTCACTTTCTACTTTTTTGGTTGTTTGATAGGCAAAATTTTTCACGGAAAATATTTTCCGGATTTTCCCCACACGTGTGCAGTTTTCGGGTTTTTGATGAAAATGTTTTCTCGCATTTTTGGTGGGAAAATATTTTTTCAGCTAACTGGAATATATATATATATATTTTTGGCAATGGAAACAAATGTCATAACTAATGGTAAAAAAAAATCATTTTAATGAACAATTTTCATGTAAAACAAAGTCAAACAAACACTAAACTTTGATAAAAAAATGATTTTTTAGGAAACAATTTTTTTTCCTTTTTTTTTAACTTTTTGGCAATGGAAACAAATTTTATAATCAATTGTGAAAAAAAATATCACTTTAATGTATAATTTTTATGTAAAACCAATCCAAACGAATAGAAAATTTAAAAATTTTTCGGGTGGAAAATTATACCAATCAAACACACTTGAAATCTTTACGGGATATCAATGAAGTCAAAATATTTTATTTTTAATATTATTTCAAAGTCATCACAGCCTAGTTTCTCGCATCCTTAATGGTGCGCAAAAGGGCCAACTTTAGCAAAAATTGATGTCAAAATAGGTCATTCCAAATTAGTATTTCGAGAATTTTGATATCATGCTAACTTTAAAATTTCACTAACAATTATACACTAGCTAAATCCACAAATTGTCTACATCACCTTGAAGCTCGTTTCGAGAACTATATCGTAGACATATCAAATAGTTCAAAAGAATATCGTTGGACATCGAAAATAATTAAATTCTTTTGCGCACCGTTAAGGATGTCGAAAACTAAGCTGTGAGGACTTTGAAATAATATTAAAAATGTAATATTTCAAATTCGTTTGACATTCCATAATAATATCGAAAATTGACATAAAGAGGGTGGATGGGTAAAAAGAGCAAAGGTGGGGAAGGATGTAGGTGGAAAAACAAATATATATGGTCAAAAACCATGTTTGAGCCACATTATATTTTTCATTTTCATTCTTATAGTCATTTTCAACCACACATTTTTCAATAAAATAATATTTTCCTTCTTTTCAATCACATATTCCTCATCATATCACATCAAAAAATGCACTCTCTCATTTTAATATACACCAAACACACCCTATATGCAAGATTATTCTCTTGCCCCACCATGGGCAGGAGAACATGTTTGTCCAATTAGATTGATGACAGTAAATCAATCAAGTCATAAGAAAGTGTTTTTTTTTATTTTTTTTTTGGGAATTTACAAATATGTACAAACACATGCTTTTTATAATTGAAAATGTCTAATTTTGATAATTATTGCAAAAATGGCCAAAGTTTGCACTAAAATGTCCATTATACTCTTAATGAAGAATAAAGTCAAAAAAAAAGATCTTTTATTGAGGAACCAAGCTAAAGGTAACATGGGCCCTATACATGCTAGGGAGTGGTACTCGGTGATTGGTAGGGTAGGGTAGGATAGGGAGGGGGAGGGAATTTAGCCCCAGTGGCCTTGTACGTACATCATTTTTCTTTATTAAAAGATAGGATGAACTGCATCCTGGCATCCCCCACTTGCCCTGCCCTGCCCTGAGTTTTAGTGAAAGAGGTAAATCGCAGGTTATACCTCCAAGATATATGGTGGAAGGCTGCTTGTACATTTGCACTTACGCAAGAGCCAAATCCATATTTTAAAATTCGAACCCTTGACGCGGCAGCCTCAAACAAAGCTGGAGTTTTTCTTTATTGAGTGTGGCACACATTGGTAGAATAATGCTGTTAGTACAGAAAAAAAAATAGAAATGATACAGAATTTTGAATTCCACTCACTTAAGGGTGGGCCCCATGTAATTAAAATATTGGCAAAACCCCACACCCTACCCACTGGTGTGTGTATTCTGTCTAGTACAGGAATTTAAATTCTTGTATCTATAGCATGATTCCACATTGGTACTAGCCCCAGAGTGTGGCACACATCGATACTAACAAGTTGCTTTCATGACAAACCACAATAATATTCTAGTTATTATTTAATGGGTTTATTTCTTTTGTTTTCTTTTCTTTTTGTGGGGAGGGGGAGGCAGGGGAGGGGGGTGGGGGATTTATATAATCTTTATTTATTGAGCATGCCACGCATCTGGTGCTAAAAGTTGCTTTCATTAGAAGCGACAATAATATTCTAGCCCATGTCTTGACTCGCATTAAAATTTTTATTCTCATTCTTTTACTTATTTTTTACCATACATTTTTCAAAAAATAATGTGGCTCAAACACACTCCCAATTAGGAATAATCTACTTGTACAAAATAGATTTTGAAATCATTGGTCTAGATCTTGTTAATGCATATTTTGTAAACCAATTTTGTACAAGTAGCATGACTCTTCTAGTTATGACTTCATGAGCTTATTTCTTGGGGGAAAGGGGAGAAGATGAAGTTATTAACACTATAAAAAACTAATTGTTCTAACAAATAAGAGACGCGCATAATTTCATTCTGAAAAATTTAATCTCAATCAAATTTGCGAGTTGATTGGGCTCTCCCCAAAATCCAATAGAAGGTAATTTTTGTTTTTGAGATCTTGTTTATGTTGAATGTTGATAAGTTGTGTATAATAGTTGTTATATATGTGACTAAAAGATATTAAAGTAAGATTATTGGAATATTCAAATAAAATCCATCTTCATTGTGATATGTTCCTCAAACATTGTATCACATCCTTCTTGAATAACTTTGATAAATAGGAATTTAAGGTAGTTGTGTCTTGACCATATCATTAATGGTGCGAATGAATTCTTGCAAAAATGGTGGCTGAAGATGATGATAAATGCATGTGGTGTGGTATAACATATTGTTCTTGACATTTTGTAAACGTCGAAATTGATATTTTAAATATAATTCTTGATATTTATCCAAATATCGATAATAACAATAAAAAATATTGGGCGCAGCTGGAGAACATTTTGTGTCTAACATTTAACATATTGTGTACAAGTAGCGTGTTCATTTTAAGTATTCTTGTCTTAGCCGATTGTATGTGTTACTGGCATACAGATATGGAAGATGTCATGATGTTTGTTGTATCACACAGAAGTGCCTTCATCAACGCAAGAGTTAAAAGGTCAATGAGCACACAAAAATGCGGACGATACGAACATTCTAGACACAACAAGCAGATGTGTAAGAATCTAGCATCGTTGAGTAACACATACACTTAATTCTTGTATCTTTTAATCTGAATAGTTGATTTATCATTCTATATATATTATTATAGACATTTGATAATTCAACTATCAAGAATGACATGTCGATATTAGAAATATTGACATGTTGTCCAATACAAAAATATGCTTTGCTTATAATACCCTGACGATTCAAGTATTACCCTATAGAAAAATGATAAATGTAGTTTTTATACTTATTCAAAACTCTAAATTATGATATTTTATTGTCTTTTGAATTAAATTCTACCAAATTTAGCCTAAATTGTATTTTGTAGGTAAAACTTTATGTTTAATGAAGAATTGAAGAAAAGAAGGCAAAATACCTAAAAATTGCAAAATCCAAAGTGCGAGGACTAAATTCGCATGGACTGCACAAATAAATTTGTGTTAAGGATCAACTTGCAGTACATAAAATAATTGAGAACTTGGAAGGAAGCATTAAATTAATTGGGCTTTAATTTGAAATGTCAATGGACTGGACTCCTTGGTTGAAAAGGGTTTTGAATTGTTATATATATACCAATATCCACGCAGTGGCCAGCGGGGAAAAATATATTGGAAAAAGCGACTGCAAGTTAAAAAAAAAACATATAAACACAGAGGAAAAGACAGAGAATTGAGAAAAATAAAAGAAAGTGGAAGAGAAAGAGAAAGAGGCAGGCAATTTGATTTAGAGAGATGATTGGTGTACAGTACTGGTGTACACCAAGTTACACAGCTCTCTCACAACAATAGTAGGGCCCATGATTATAAAATAATTGTGGGGCTCACGATTGTGAGAGAGTTGTGTACAAGGCTATACACTAATGCTGTACAAATAGCTTTTTCCTTGAATATATACACACGCAAATTGAGGTAGCATAAAGTCAAGAAAAGTGGCTGATGTTGGAAGTTATATATCCACAGAAAGCATGCATGCAGAGGGAAGAAATTAACTGAAGTTGGAGCAATAAATTGGAATTAATCACGTTTTGTCAATTTTTGGTGATATCTTTCTACTTTTTCGTGTTTAAATTCAACGTTATGATTGATTAAATACTTTTATTGTTAGGATGGATGATGTAAAGTTTTTATTATATATTTAATTTCAAGATTTTCATGTCTTTTTAATGCTTGTTAATTAATTATTATGTGTTTAATGTTTTAATTGTTTGTATAACAATTAATCAATTTAGGGATAATACTGAGACCGAAAGGTGATGTATAATTATAGTTTGTGCAATAATTAACATGGATATTATAAGATATCGATAGATAATTATAAGCTATGCGATCTTTGTAGAATTCCTATAGATAAATGCGTTCATATGCGTGTGAATTTATATA